TTAAAAGTAGATGATAGGTATAGGGAAGTTATATTAATACTATTCTGTTTCTATACTGTAGTTTTCATTTTTCATAATCATTTCTTAAAAGAATGACAATAAAGTTTAAATCCTTGGAATTAGTGTTTTGTGACTTGTTTAGATGTAAATTAATCCCTTGGCCAGTTTTGTTATTAAAATTTTATTGGTACTTGAAGGTTTTTTAAAGCATTTAAGAGAATGATAGGTCAAACTTGAGACCATTTGATAAAAATTATAACAAATACATATAAATATTTGGAATGGCATTTAACAGAAAAGATGGTTCATTCAGTAATGGGATTACTTAGTGATTTTTGTCATTTTTTTTTACTATTTTACATCTTCTAAAAATTCTACAGTAAACTGTGTTTAGAATCTTAATAAGGAAAAGCTTTAATCAATATTTGATGAAATCCAGATAACTTTTATGCATTAAGGATATTATTCTAGGGGCGCCTGGGTGGCTCAGTCGGTTAAGCGTCCGACTTCGGCTCAGGTCATGATCTTAAGGTCCGTGAGTTCGAGTCCCGCGTCGGGCTCTGTGCTGAGAGCTCAGAGCCTGGAGCCTGCTTCAGATTCTGTGTCTTCTCTCTCTGACCCTCCCCCATTCATGCTCTGTCTCTCTCTGTCTCAAAAATAAATAAACATTAAAAAAAAAATTAAGGATATTATTCTAGTACTAAGAGCACTCCTCCTTGTTGCTTCAGAGACTGGTCTTTGAATACACTGTTCTTCTCTAGGACAGTTTTGGTGAATGATGGATTTATGTCTGAATATATGTCCAGAAAATAGCTATTTCAGGTATTTTCTATATATGAAATACGATATAAGGGCCACCCCTATTACTACATTCTCATAAAATTTCCTTTTTAAAAAAAGGTACAGAATTTTCAATATAGCCAGTGTTCATATATAAAACTTTACCTTAGTGGGAGGAAAGGGTATCATGAGTATTTTGGCAAAATTTTCCCTCTTTAGGCAGAAATAAGATTAAGAGGAAATGAGTAACTATTTCTTCCTGCCTCCAGAACTGAAACAGTATTCAAATTTATGAGTGAATTTTATTTGTAGCAAACACTTTCTTTATAAACCATGAGTTTATTTTGTAGGTGGCCTTTTAAAATAAACTATATGATTTTATACACTGTGCTCATACTCTGGCTTTATGCCCGACCTCCCATGTCGCAAACATCCAGAGTAGGACCCAATATTAAAGAAAATAAACCAGAAAAAAAAAAAAAAACCTAGAAAATATTACAGATGTTAGTAATAAATTACTCAGTAATATTCACATTAGAGCAGTAATAAATTATAATAGTGGTGGTCCTTAAAAAATTGTCCCACTGTTTACTAAGACATTTAGCCTTTCCTGTGTTCCAATTGAAATACATTATTGTTTTCTACTCTTACAAGAGTGAGATGTTAGGGGATATTGTGTTTATTCATTTGACTGATTCTATTCAATACAGAGGTTAAAAAATAAAGGTAAAGCACCTATATGCATTGTATAAACTAGCACCAAATCCTTACTATATATGAGAAAATACCTGTTTTGGAAATCACTTACCTTAAAAAATACAATCTAGAATCTGCTAAAGGCAAAGTGATTAATCCTGACACATTCTAAAAATCAAAACAATTTAGGGGCGCCTGGGTGGCTCAGTTGGTTAAGAGTCTGACTTCAGCTCAGGTCATGATCTCGCAGTTTGTGGGTTTGAGCCCCGCATAGGGCTCTGTGCTGACAGCTCAGAGCCTGGAGCCTGCTTCGGATTCTGTGTCTCCCTCTCTCTCTGCCCCTCCCCTGCTGGTGCTCTGTCTCTATCTCTCTCTCAAAAACAAACATTAAAATTTTATTTTTTAATTAAAAAAAAAAGAAAGTCACACACTTAAAAAAAAACAATTTAGAAGTCTATGAAGGGGTAGGTAGCTCTTGAAGAAAAAAGGATTGAGTAAGGTAAAAAAAAAAAAAAGGCATATTGAGAAAACCATATTGGAACAGATGGATTTTATAAGGAAGAGATTTTCAAATTATGTTTTGATGAGCCGCCGCCATAGGGGCTGGTCAACAAGGAGGTATGGAGGCCAACTATTGAAGTCTTTAAGCAAGACAGTGCAGTAGGTGTATTAGGAAGATTGAATTGACATTGGAGCCAGAGGGATGTGTTGGGAAATTTTTCAGGAAGTCAGATGAGATGGCACGAGCCTAGACGTATCATTGGCCATGGGTTTGAAAATAAAACAGGAAGATGCACATTTGGACTTTCACCAAGGAAAAACCAACAGGACTGGGTTAGAGATTGGATGGATATTATAGCAGGGGAAGGAGGAGTCCAAGATCCAAATGGTGACAGAAATGAGTCTCATGTTGAATTTAAATCCAGGGGTACAAGATGACATGGGACTATGGCAGGAGGTGATTGTATCCAAATTCTAAAGGGAAATACAAGGTGAACTAAAATAACTTGAATACGTATGCTAGAAATATGATGACTAACTGTGGGATTGTACCTCGTGTCAGTAGTGGGGATGAACACCCAACAGACCTGGAAATTGTGTTCTTGTTCTTCAGTTCTTAATGTTGGTCCCTTTCTCAGAAGTAACTAGGTTAGATAGCCTCTGTGCCTTTTTTTTTGGGGGGGGGGGGTGCCCTGTGTTAAATCATAAAGCCCTAGGTTCTGTGGCACAGCTAAAAATCCCATATCCAGAGCCTATGAATTGACTCCTGCTAGTAGTGTTGTTAGGTGAGACAGAGACTGTTACTGATGTGGCTTCCAGTTGGTGAAAATAAAATCCCCAGCAGAAGACTTGCTATTCCTCTAAACTGGTGACATCAGCCCCAAACCCAGGGTTCATTTTCTGAGGGGTAATGAAGTCACCAGGGATTTACTATCCCTCCCCCCGCAAAAAAATAAACTATAAATGAACTAAAATTATGGAAATGTAAATACTCATTCTCAGTGTAAGAAAAGCTTATTTAATATAAAAGCTCATAAATATATACATTAAGGTCATAAATATATATGTTAAGGGCTGACTTATGTCCCCTTTCCAAATGCATTTGTCAAAGTCCTAACCCTCAGTACCTCAGAATGTAACTATTTGGAGATAAAAAGTTAAGGTGATTAAGTTAAAATGAAGTCTTTAGAGTGTTTTAATCCAATATGACTGGTGTTCTTATAACCCAAGTTTGCACAGTCCAAGGGATGACCATGTGAGGACACAGTGAGAAAGTGACCATTACAATCCAAGGAGAAGGACCTCAAAAGAAACCAAACCTGCTGACACCTTGATCTTGGCCTTGTTGTAGCCTCCAAAACTATGAGAAAATAAATATCTTTGCTTAACCCATCTAGCCTGTGGCATCTTTTTAAATGACAGCCCAACAAACATAATTTAACACATATCTTAGCAAACTTTAGAATCAAAAGATAACAACTTAGACAGATATTGGTTAATATGCAAAATAGACAAAGAAGCTACAACACTCCAGGAACAGTGAGCATATGTCGTCCCCAGAACTTGGTCTTAAATACCATCCTCCAGTGAGAAGAACCAAGGCTCCTTGGAGAAATGACTGATTGTAAGAATGAGTCAGGAAATACACATTATGAGCCCAGGGCATCATGTAGTGCCAGAAAGTAGCAAACTGCTCAAAAAAAAACCTCACAATTATAGGTCTGTCAGAGGGACACAGGAGCGAACTGAAAGATGTTAGTGTTCAAAGCCTTGAATAACAAAATGAAGTACTATTGGATTAGAATCCAAAGTGTAAAATAAAAATATAGGAGTCCATGTTGATATAAACAGATCATTGAATAAATAAATGGAGAATAGACTAATCTCCTTTGCAGAAAGATTCCAAATAATTCATATAGATATTCCACTGTCAAGAAGGTAGAACACAGTTCCCTGCTCAAGTGTGCCCTGTGCATAGTGGCTTTCTTCCAAAGAATGGACAGGGGTGAGGTGGGGAGTAACCTTACAGTTTAAAGTCTGACAAACACTACCTCAGCCAGGTGGTCAAGGTTAACATCAATAGTGATAATTCATGTCGATAGTGTGTCCTTGATATGATAGGAGGAAATGGTACTTTACCTCTTGTGGTCTTCCTCCCAAAACCCATACCTTGATTTAATCATGAGAAAAACATCAGGCAAATTACAGTAAAGGGACTTCCTCCAGTACTCTTGAGTAATACTCCTCGAGACTGTCAAGGTCATTTCCAAAGAAAAATCTGAGAAATTGTTTTTCTTTTACAACCAAGAGGAGCTAAGGAGACATGACAGGTAAACATAAGGTGCTATCCTGAATGGGATCTTGGGACAGAAAAAGGATAGTAGGTAAAAACTAAGGAAATCTGAATAGAGGATGGACTTTAGTCAATAATATATCAATATTGGTTTGTTAATCGTGGCAAATGTACCATGCTAATGCAAGGTCTAGGGGAAACATGATGTAGAGCTTATGGTAACTATAGTATATTCCCAACCTTTCTGTAAAATTAAAACTATTCCAAAAGATTCTTTTTAAATAGACCCAAAAAGTAGACAACAAAATATCATACACCCTGTGCATCAAAAGGCCAGTAAACACTTGAAAAGAAAATCATGTGTAGTGCTATTCAGGAATGTATATTAAAACATCTGGCACACTTTAAAAATAATAATAATAATAATAATAATACCCATGATCGGCAGTGTATAGGAATGTAAAGTGCAACTGCTTCTCTGGAGGGCATTTTGGTAATAGGTAAAAACGTATGTACTATTTGAAGCAGCAACATCCCAACCAGGAAGTGAAATGTTTTTACGTCACGTGCAATAGCACACCCCTGAAATTGACCAAAAGCCTATTAACATTGGATTATTTAAATAAAGTAAGGGCATATCAATGTGGAATGTAATGAACATATTAAGAATACACACTGTAGGGGCGCCTGGGTGGTTCAGTCTGTTAAGTGTCTGACTTCGGGTCAGGTCATGATCTCCTGGTTCGTGAACTTGAGCCTCACATCAGGCTCTGTGCTGAACCCTTGCTCAGAGCCTGGAGCCTGCTTCGGATTCTGTGTCTCCCTTTCTCTTGGCTCCTCTCTTGCTCATGCTCTGTCTCACTCTGTCTCTCGAAAATAAATAAATGTAATTAAAAATTAAAAAAAAAAAAAAGAATACACACTATAGAATATTTGGGGGCAAAAAAAAATCCCATGATGTGTCACATGAAAATGCCAACTGTAAACCATATATATACTGTTATGCTACCTCTATGTCTGTTCTTTCATTTTATGTGTGATTGTACATATCTGTTGGGTCTGGGATTTGGCGAAATAGTCTTCACAGATGGCATTAAGTCCTGTTAATGATTTAGGTATTTTATAAATGTTTACAGAGAGCTATTTTAATGCATGTTGTAATATATCAACTATTGATAATTAGAAGCCAGTGCTTCTCAAAATCATGGAGTAAAGGACACTTTTGTATTACAGGTTGTGCGTGTACATACGTGTTATATTTAGATTTTGGGAATGTTACATGTGGATTAAAAGTAGGATTTGCATACAGTAAAATGTTGCCTGTAGTTATCTCTGGGAGAGTTGGGACAATTTTTATTTTTGGTGATTTTCTACCTTTTCCAAATGTTCGAGGAATCATATTTTTTGTGATGAAAAAGGTTTTATTTTAAAATTCAAATATAGGGGCCCCTGGATGGCTCAGTCGGTTAGGCGTCTGACTTCAGCTCAGGTCATGATCTCACAGTCCGTGAGTTCGAGCCCCACGTCGGGCTCTGTTCTGACAGCTCAGAGCCTGGAGCCTGCTTCGGATTCTGTGTCTCCCTCTCTCTCTCTGCCCCTCCCCCACTCACGCTCTGTCTCTATCAAAAAGTGAATAAACATTAAAAAAAAATTTTTTTTAAATAAGTAAAAATTAAAAAATAAAATTCAAATATAATTAACAGTGTTATTAGTTTCAGGTATACAAAGAGAAAGTTTTTTTTAAAGGTGATTTTCCCGTGATACTATACCTAGAATATTGAAATCCTCTTTTTGTTACAAAAGTATTTTTACTTTGCTTTCTGAGCAGATTTAGTCTGCACAAATATGCATTTACACAAATTTATATTATTGCATATTTCCTATGTAGTTTCTGCTTTACTATTAGGTGAAATTTTCCTGAGCTGTCGAAAGCATTGTTGTATGTGATCAGTCTCTCATTCTTTTTACTTTTAGGTTGGTGTTTGGAATGCTTTATCCTGCATATTATTCATACAAAGCTGTGAAAACAAAAAACGTGAAGGAATATGTAAGTATAGTTTTATGAGTGATTGATTCTAACTTAATGTATCTGTGATATACAAGACAAGAAAATCATTATTTTAGAAATAGCTGGGATACTGTTTTTGGTTAAAAATGTTACATGAATATGAGTTTAATGAAGTTAGTCTTTTAAAAATAATTTTGAATACAATTCCAAAGTGGAGTTTCAAAAAAAGTTCACTGTCAGTTGGTATTTAAATAAGTGTATGATCCAGTGAGTAATTGGATCTCTTACTCATTTTGTCTCAGTTCCAGTATAAGAAGTTAGGGGGCTGTCTGGTTTTTAGCCTTGTGAATTTATAGGTACACTGAGAACATAGTTCTTTCTTACTCCAAACCTTTTCCTTTTTTCATAACTGGTTTGTCACTTTTTAATTCATTTAACTATACAGATGTATTATCACTGCTGACAATAGCAGTCTTTTTTCTTCTTAAATCAGACTCTACAGTTGACCCTTGAACAGCACAGGGGTTAAAAGCCACCAACCTCCCCCTCCCCTGCAGTGGAAAATCTGAGTATAATTTTTTTTTTTAATGTTTATTTATTTTTTGAGAGAAAGAGAGAGTGTGTGAATAGGGGAGGGGCAGAGAGAGAGGGTGACAGAGGATCCAAGCAGGCTCTGGCGGACAGCAGTATAATTTTTAACTCCCCAAAAACTTAACTATTAATTGCCTACTGTTGATCAGAAGCCTTACCCATAAGGTAAACACATGTATGTGTATTATGTACTATATTAAAAGTAAACTAGAGGGGCACCTGGGTGGTTCAGTCAGATAAGCGTCCGACTTCATCTCAGGTCACGACCTCGTGGTCCCTGCATTCAAGCCCCGCATCTGGCTCTGTGCTGACAGCTGGGAGCCTAGAGCCTGCTTCAGATTCTGTGTCTCCCTCTCTCTCTGACCCTCCCCCACCTCTCTTGCAAAAATAAACATTGAAACGAGAAAAGTTAAGGTAGAGAAAAGAGGTTAAGAAAAATCATAGGGAAGAGAAAATACGTTAATAGGCCTGTAAAACAAATTTATGCGTAAATGGACCTACACAGTTCAAACCTGTGTTGTTCAAGGGTCAACTCTACCAGCCAATACATTCCTCCTCATATGGAATGTTTGTCATACTGTTATTAAAGGAGATCTGTTTTTCTAAATCTGATTAGCTTTACAGTTTAAATACAGGGTGAATTTTCTCAACTTTGTGCCCATTTTTTCACCTATAAAGTATTATAAACCCAGGATAAGAACTCGTGTGCCTGTGTGTGACTTTGTGTATATTTCTGTGCTTACGGTATACTCCTGTCTTCCCTCCAAATCTGGGTGATTTTGTTGGGAAAAGAAATAAGTACAAATTGAAAATGAAGTTTATATGAGAAGCTCTAGTGATACAAAGATATCAGTGGGCACACAGATACCATGCCCTAAAATAAAAAGGGGGTAACAGTAAGAAATATGAAGGTATAATAAATTATAAATAAATATACAAAGTTATAAATAAAGTATGTAAGTTATAATAAATTATAATAGGCCTGTCATTTATAAACTAATGCTAAAAGAACAGAAAAGATGGTGTTTAGGGATTAGCCTAAGAACCATTATAAAATATTAATTCATTTCTTTATTTTTTTAATTTTTTTTTTAATGTTTGTTTATTTTTTGGAAGAGAGACAGACAGAGTACGAGCAGGAGAGGGGCAGAAAGAGAGAGAGAGAGAGAGAGAGAGAGAGAGAGGGAGGGATACACAGAATCGGAAGCAGGATCCAGGCCCTGAGCTGTCAGCACAGAGCCCAACACGGGGCTCAAACCCATGAACCATGATATCATGACCTGAGCTAAAGTCAGACACTTATTCAGCTGAGCCACCCAGGCACCCCAATCCATTTCTTACTATGTGTCACTTTAACTTTGTTAGTATTATCTTTTAGAGACTTAAAAACATGGGTTTCTGTGTTTGAATCCTTAATAAACACTCAGATTTTTATTCCTGTATTAGTCTATAAATTTGGGATGAATAAGAATGGTTCTAACCCTGAAATTTTAATTCTACTTCATAAATTAAAGATAACCTTTGGCGAGAATCCAGTAACATTCTCATTCAAACTGATCGAAAAACTAGGGAAGTAGAAAGGCAATTGGTTTGATAATTACATGGTAATCAACTCTCCACAAATGAAAAAGCTAAAAGCAAAAATGGTAAGGCATTGAAATAGAAGGCAGGGCATTTGCTTTTGACAAGGAAATGTGCTACAACTCAGAAGACGTGGTGACCAAGTTGTCTGCCATCAGGCTGCTAGAGAGACCAAGCTGAGATATCATATTAAAACATTTGCATTTATATGATTTCCTACCAATTTCAAAAATACTTTTATATATTATTGTTTGCAATAGCTACTATAACAAAATGCCAAATACTTACTGGCTTAAACCAACCCAAATGTATTTATTCTCTTACCATCCTAGGGAACAGAAATCTGAAATGGATTTACAGGGCTGTACTCTTTCTGGAGTGTCTAAGGGAAAATCTTTTACCTTACCTTTTCTAGCTTCTACAGGCTGCCTGCATCCTTGGCTAATGGTTCTATTCCTCAGCTTCAAAGCCAGAAACGTTGAGCTGAAACTTCTCACATTTCCATCCCTCTAGTTCTCTCTTCTGCCTCCCAATTCCACTTACAGGAATGCTTATGGTTACCTTGGGACCACCTGAGTAACCCACAATCCTATCCGCATCTTAGGGTCAGCTGATTAGCAACCTGAATTCCATCTGCAGCCTGATTACTCCTTTACCATGTAACATACTCACAGGTTTTAGGAATTAGGTAGGACATGGACATCTTTGGGGTAGGGAGACATTTTTCTGCATACCATAATATCTCACTGGTCCTCACAAAATAAATAAAATAAATTAAATAAATAATAAATAAATAAATAAATAAATAAATAAATAAATAAAGTCAGGGAGAATGTTTCGATGTTACAGTCTCGGAGAAATAAATTGACTTACCCAGGGTAACATGGAACAGTAAGGCAGGAAGCGTACCAGATTGGATATGTTGTTACAAATATTTCATTCTGTCTCTTCTACCAAAAGTAGGTGAGGATTCTAGCTTGTAAAACAGTTTTCACAACCAGCCAGTGGATGTGCTTCCAAAGTAGACCTCCAGGAGCCACAAAAATAAGGATATTGTCAAAGAAGGGCAATGAGGCTGTTTAACCAGTACTTAGGGCAGGACTCTTACATATCGAAATCAACCAAGATCAGAACGGCTAAAGATGAAATTAGGTTTTGAAAGGGTTGGCAGGTAACTATTTCCAACCTAAATTTAGTTGTTTTTTGGGTTTTTTGTTTTGTTTCCAGTTTATTAATTTGACAGGGTGCGTGCACGTGCCTGCACAAGTGGGGACAAGACAGATGGAGGGGGAGAATCCCAAGCAGGCTCCACGCTCCATGCTGGGCCCATCGCAGAGCTCAGTCTCACAAACCTCGAGATCATGACCTGAGCCAAAATCATGAGTTGGAAACTTAACCCACTGAGCCACCCAGGTGCCCAAACCTAAATTTACTTTTGACAAAATGTTTGAATATTATTATCTTGCTGAGTCTCACCTGGCCTTACTTTAAACTTTGGGCCACCTGGGTGGCGCAGTCGGTTAAGCGTCCGACTTCAGCCAGGTCACGATCTCGCGGTCCGTGAGTTCGAGCCCCGCGTCAGGCTCTGGGCTGATGGCTCGGAGCCTGGAGCCTGTTTCCGATTCTGTGTCTCCCTCTCTCTCTGCCCCTCCCCCGTTCATGCTCTGTCTCTCTCTGTCCCAAAAATAAAAAAAAAAAAGAAAAAAAAAACGTTGAAAAAAATAAACTTTGATTATAACAGTTTTATTAGAACTCTGTTCTCAGAAAGTTTTCCTATATAGTGATCCCATCCTAATTGATTTTGTTTTGCATATGGTAATTTCTTAGTAAAGTTAACCTTCATATTTCCCTGTTATATTTTTAATGGCCTTTTATATTATCTGATATTATATTATTTGTATGTGTATTTGTCCTCCCCACCAGAAACAGCTACATAGAGTTTGGTTGTTTTGTTAACTGATACATTTCCCTACCTAGAACAGTACATGGTATATATAATAGGTACTCAATATTTTTTAAATGAATGAGTGAATGAATGAATAAGAAAAGGAAGAAGAGTTGAAGAACATGTACATTTCTTAAGGGGATTGGTCTAGGTTCTCAGCTTTGATTCTGCTGGGTTAAGGAGTACACAGTCCAGTCTGACTTAACCCAAAGCTCAGTGTCTTTGTGGTATTTGGTTGTTACCTAAATTCCACTGATATCTACTTCAAAATTGTTTTCAGAAAGCAAACATTTTAGATTAATTTACTTCTTTCCACCCTAACTACTACCATTCCCCTTAAGCCTACAAACAGTAGATTGCACCTGATAAAACAGATGCTGTGCTCAAATCAAAACAAATGGAAAGTGCTGTGTATTTTGGCAACCTTCCTTTCTTCCTTTGCCTATTTTTAAAACAGAGCTTTCCTAGGATATAATTTCCTGTATAGTGTGGCTGATATGGCCTACTTAAAGTCTTTCAGCCTTGCAGTAATTGAAATGTAAACTTACTGAAGAATTAGTATGGTTTTGCAAATTTTTTTAGGCTTATACCATCTCGTGACTTGAAAATAGAGTGTTTATTTCCAAGTCGTGTGTAATTGCTGTAGCTTTTCTAGGAAACTGTGTTCTTATTCTAAGAATGTTGGAGAACGTGGCAATGAAAAGATTGGCTAACAGCACTTAAAAATCAAAATCAGACATTTGGTCTGATCACAGAGATTTACTGTGAGCAAGAACAAAGAACAGGGAAAATTCTGGGAGATTACTCTTTTAAAGGCTTAGAAATAGCCCTCTACGGATGCCTGGATGGCTCAGTCAGCTAAGAGTCTGACTTCAACACAGGTCATGATCTCATGGTTCAGGGTTCAAGCCCCACATCAGGC